CACTTTCTTAGATTAAATGTGTTCCAGACGATACACGGTCACTCCTTGTACATTGTTATTTCATCTGTTTCGCTCCAATTTTTTTTAAACAAGTTTTCAATCACTGGGAGGTTAGTCTTCAGAAAGAAGCATTCTCATTTTTTTTTTGTACATAAGTGGAAAAAAACCCAACTTTAAAAGTTTTTTATTTAGACTAAGTTCAATTTTTAATTTTTGTTCAATAAAGCACATTCCCAGCTGACTAGGAGAATCAAATTTAAAGGAAAGGACAAGAACTCCTCTGCCCGTGTGGGCTAGGGTAAGGTGCAAATGATGAACAGACGCAAGTCATTCTTGAAGAGAAGCCTCATGTTTTCTTTTCTTGAGAAAAATGAATTCGAGTCTTATCATAGCCGTAAATAACAAAGTGGCCTTTTGGAGAGATTTTATTAAGTAGATTTTTTTAAAGAGTAATATTTTGCTTCATTCTGAAAGTTATTTCAATTTCAGTTGAGAATAATTAGGTGCAGATTTTAGAAAGATTACAAATTTAAGAAGTCATGTGAGTTTTGCTACAAATGTACTAGAGCAGATAGGCAGATGTTCTTTTCTGACAAACCTACACTGTTTTTAGGCTTTTAGTACAGGCTGACTCACTTGCGCGTGCACACAGACCGTGCTCGTGCCTGGATTTGACAGTCATGTGTCGTCAGATCAGGCCCTGAGGTGGTGGTGTAACAACCAAGATGGCGCCCTGGGGTTTGAGCCCCACTCTGTTGCTGCCTGGGCAAGTCATCTGTCCATAAGATTGAAGTGTTGGATCAATCTGTGTTTCTCGAACTAAGATCCACGGTTCTCTGAGGATCTGTGAGTGTTCTGGGCAGCGGGGTACTAACTCTGGGGATCTGGGACTGTTTTAGGGCACGGGGTTCTAAGCGTGTCTCCAGCTTCTGGATCACACCTCTGCGTGAGTCCTCTGGGGGTCCCAGCACCTGTTCCCATCCCCAGCTGCGCGGCACAGAGCGACCCCTGCTGGCGGCAGTATGGAACTGTCATTGTGTGTCAGGGGGTGTTGGTGGCTGGATCTCAAGAATCTGCAGACATGTTCTTGGAGTTCTCGTGTTTGAGAAATACTGGATTGGTGCTAAGTGTAAATTATCATTTCATTATATTTGCTCCCATACTGAACAGCAGCAACAGACCAGCCAGCACTTGAGTGTATGTATTTCTAGAGGCAGACAGGATTACAGGCTAGTCTAGTGCTCCTCCAGCTGTTATCCAGAAAACTGCAAAGTGTTAATATTGATGCTGAAAAAACCTTCAGCACTCAGACGAATTTAGGAAATGCAGAAGTCAAATGCGTATTTTGACTGAAAACGCAGTACGCTAACCTGCCCCGTGGAGCTCCAGGTGGCTGTCGCATTGAGCGCTGTACAGGAGTACACGCTGCAGGACCCTGGTGTCTCCCGGCAACACAGAACTCTGTTTTGTAGAGAGTTTGGGAAACACAGATCTTGAGTATGCTGGAACCATCATGAGCCCATTCATCTGTGTCCCAGCCCCTTTCAGAGGGTTCAAATAAAGTGATAGAACAGTTTTTGGTAATTCTGCTGTTAAATTGTTTTTCCAACCAAAATAATTCAGGGAAAATGTGCTGTGATACCTCTAAAAATAGTATGATGATTTTTCAGATAACTTGTTAAATCTGTCTACTTTCTAAAACTTTGTTCTTATAGGAACAGCCAACTTATTTATAAACCTGACTAGAGAATTATAAACCTGACTAGAGAATATTCCTTTATTGTTTCATTGAAAGACTAAACTTTTTTCAGTCATTTTAGAAAAATGTGTTATATTGAAATGAGGCAGATTGTTAGCATCCAATGAATTTCTGTGCAGGCTAATAAATAAGCTTCATTTACAAGCCTCCTGGCTCACCATCGAATCCATGAATGGCCTTTTTTACATTGGCACATTTCAGGAATTGAGCAGTTAGTACATTTTGTTTATAATGTAACATTCTCAAACTTAACATTTTTATAATCTATTGTTAAATTCTTCGTGTGCTTTAAGTGTATTTGCAAAAATAAGAACTGTGTCATGCATGTGCGATGGTTGTACCAGTTCTCACAGGTTGAGCTCCTCAGATTTAGTTAAGTCACACAATGGAATTTAAGGCTTTTATCTTTATGAGTTCATCTGGTAAAAGATATTTATGAAATTTAATTTTTACGTTAATCCTCAGAACAGCCCTGCAGAGTTGGTTAGTTTTGTTCTCCTGTTTCTCGAGGCATGGGGTTAGGGCTCAGGGGCCCAGTGCTGGGCTGAGCTGATGGAGGAGTCCCGCGGACGGGCTGGGTGGAGTTCAGGTCGTCCCGGCGCCTCTGCGGGACAGCAGGACACCTCCTTACGAGGTAGACATCCCTGTGATTCTTTTTCATATGTTCTTTGAACATTTTAACATTGGAAACACATAATGTAAATAGGTTGCCTGGAAGAGGCAAAAATAATGGAAAAGATGTACATTGACTTAAATCTTCCTGAAGTGCTGTCACATAAAAAAATTCCAACCTGTTATCTCGTTAGCTGATCCATTGGAGGAAATGTGGTACTACAAACTGGATGTGACAGATCCACAACTGATGCCTTCTTGATCTGGCTAAAGCACAGTCAGCAACGGTCTGGCTCCGAGCAGACAGTGGGAAAACACAGGAGCCACCTGAGTTGTCTGACGCCACCAGTTTGCTTCTCCTCACAGGGAAAAAAAGCCATTGGCTTTCTACACGTGTGGTACACACGTCTGAATCTTGATGAATCCTTTTCTAGTTTTAGAGAAAATGCACATGAATTAACTTTTCCTTATAAGAACGTGGGTAACATTTACATTTGGATCAGAAGCACAGGATTTTCCTTGGCCTTCAGAATTCTTAACCTCACTAATATCCCTGTGCCTTTTTGGGAATTTGTTTCACGTGCACACTTCCTTATTTTCCCATGTGGCCTAGGTGTCCCAGAGGACACCCAATTAACTGAGAAAGGCCTAGAGGAAGACGTGCCCACGGCCCACAGCCGCTCGTGGAGCCCTGGCGCCTGGAGCAGGCCATACTCCCGGGAGGTGGATTATTGTAAGCATAATGATGTTTTAAAAAGGTGTCCCTTTCTGGGACCATGTCTTGAAGGATGTTACCTTCTGTCTGAAAAGCAGTTCCCTGGCTGTGCAGGTCAGTGTGAAAGGGTGGAGTGTGGCCTTAATGAGGGGTATGATGGAAGAAAGTGACAGATCTGCTGGTCCAGGATTGGCAGCACGGTGTGAACATGAAGATACTAACGGAGGGCCGTCTTTGAAATATATTTGACAAATTTATGAACAAATCTATACACCAGCTCATTATGGCTTGTGAGAAAGTGCTGAGTGCTGCTGTGATACTAAAGTTATTCTCAATACACATAAAAGCCCTTGCCTTTACTGGTGTAAAGTGTATGTGTCTCAGTCTTGAAGTTGGGCTGACCCAGAATTGTGCTTGCTCACCCAGAGCTTAATCTTCTTACAGCTGAGAGGACAAAGCACGAGGTCAGCATCTTAGTTTTGTTCAGCTCCTGACGCTACGGTTTCACAGTGTGCTTGTGTTCGATACCCTTCCCAGTCTGTGAGATGGGGACGGAGCGGGTTTGCAGATGTCCACACAGCGGCAGGGAGGGACTTGGCTAAGGCCTTGTGGCCAGTAAACTCCTGGTCCCTTTTCCTGTGGTGTGCTGCCATGGAAATGATAGAGCTACTCCTGGGCCGTTGTGACGTTTTATGAGCCCTCTTGTCATCAAACATCGACAGTAATTGTTAATCTTGTTCCATTCAGAGGAGTATAAGCTCACAATAAAATGCTGGTGAAACTATTCCAAAACATTTGTGTTATACTGCATGTCTCTATGGTACAAAGATGTGCAAGCGCCGTCTTGTAACTTGACAGACTTTTAGGAAGACAAACCAAAGGTAAACCAGGAAAACAGCAGCAAGTCGAACCACCGTCTCTAATTAATCAGCCCATATCAAACACCAAGTGTGTTTTTTAAGTGGAGAAATGTTTAATTTATCACAATACCACTTGCAAGTATTTGTGGTAGATTCTATCCTTCCTCAACTTTGCATCTGACCTAATTTTTCAAAAATATAAATGATATATGTTATAGTGCTATATAACCTTTAAGAAGATGATTTTAAGAAAAGATTTTCTTCCTGCATCCTTAAATAAGATTTGATTCTTTTTCACCTTTTAAAATAAGTATTTGGGTTTCCCGGTTAATTCATGAAATACCTGTTTTGCAGCAAACGTTCATTGAGACACGGTCCTAGGTGATCCTTTGTGCTGGGTAATGGTTAAATGGCACGAACATTCCTCTGACGTGAACAATTCACTTCCTTGCATTTTGAAAAATCTTTATATTCCAGGGAATGTAGAATAAAGTTTTCATAAAAGAGCCAAGTAATGAACTTCACTTTTTCTAAACCTTGTGGCATAACATCTGTAACTGTCACTGTAGAGTTAAATGTTTTAATTGCCAGTTCACTGGATTTATACACAGTGTGTTCGTACTACATAGTCTGGTGCGTTTTTCTAAAATTCCTGGAATATTATGGCTCAAAATTTGGTTGATTTGGATACTTATCCAAAAAACTTTGAAAATCTATTCCAAAATATCCAGGGCACTGTGGTCAGCCTTCAGCTTGCTACCTGTTGAAAATTTCAGGTGTTTAAACGATCCATAAGATTCAGAAACTGAGGCTTAATAAATTGCAAAAAGGCTAGTATTTCCTCTCCTTTATAATGTTTTAGGCATGAAAAGACTGGGTTCAGTAGACATTGGTAGAGAAAACTGGTAAAAGTTGCCCTTCCCTGTTTTATCTAGAAAATATTTTTTAAATGTACAGTCCCTGAACTTAAATATTTAAGTAGTAGTGTATAGTCAAGTTCCTTTGGTTCTGCCTCGTGCTCACCTGTGGGTTTTTGTTTTTTTAATGATGATAGGTTCACGCAAAGAGTCTGCTCCACAAGTTTTGCTTCCAGAAGAAGAGAAGATTATAGTCGAAGAAACTAAAAGTAACGGTCAGACGGTGATAGAAGAAAGGTAAGATATATTCCAGAATTTTAAAGCAGGCATGTCTCTACAGACGGGGAGTGGGGCATGGGGGCTCGTGGAGGAGTGGGGGCATGGGGGTGCATGGAGGGGAGAGGTGGGGGAGAGGGAGGGAGGAGTGGGGGCGCATGGAGGAGTCGGCATGGGGGTGGAGGGGAGGGGTGTGTGTGCGTGGAGGGAAGGGGTGGGGGTGCATGGAGGGGAGGGGACATGGGTGCACATAGAGGGGTCGGGGCATGGGGTGGAGGGGAGGGGTGGGTGTGTGTGGAGGGAAGGGGTGGGGTGCATGGAGGGGAGGGATGGGGGAGTGGGAGGGAGGAGTGGGGGTGCATGGAGGGGAGAGAGGGGATGGGAGGGAGAAGTGGGGGCGTGGAGGGGAGGGGTGGGTGGGTGTGTGTGGAGGGAAGCGGTGGGGGAGTATGGCTCCAGAAACTACTACTTTTTTCCTCATGGATTGGCATTAACCTTGACTGGGCTCTAACCTTCCATACACAGAAGCTGGTTGCTCTAAAGTGCATGGATTTAGGTATTTAGTAAGTCGGGCAGAGCGGTACTGTTCACTTCATCTGGCGTTTTCACATCTCCTGGAGATGCTTCTGTGCGTCCTCTTTATTCCTTGTTCTTGTTCTAGTGTTCATTCTCTTTTCTATTTCAGGAGTCTTGTTGATACTGTCTATGCATTAAAGGATGAAGTCCAAGAATTAAGACAGGTGAGTCACAATCAGTTTTTCAATCTTTGTTTTTTTAATGGGGAAAAACACTGTATTAAAAATGAAGCCAGTTGTCCATAAGCAAAATAATATGGAAAGGAGATCCTGTCTTCCAAAATTCCAGCAGATCAAATAGTTAGTGTTCTATGAATACGATAGACCAGGAAATGAATTTTTAAAGTGATTTGTTTAAACTCTTTCTTTTTACTGTATATGTTTGACATCATAAACCATCTCAGATTCGGTTGGAATAATCACTTAAAAATATCTAGAATTCCGTTTACTAAAAAATTTTATTAGTCCTACCGTGACTCTTTTCTGCCACTTTCTCATGTATGCGTGGTCTTTGTTCTTGAGAAGCCAGGTCAACAAGTTAGTTCAACTTGGTTAACTAACCAAATCTATTTTGTGTGTTTGTATATTATTTGTTTGTACAAATGGCCTTGGTCTCCGAGACCGGAGTGGTGAGTCCTGCCCACAAGGTGGGAGGTTGGAGGGGAGGCCGAGGAGAAGCATGAACACAGCATGGTCTGGCTGGTGGTGCCCACCAGGCACCTGGACACGCTCTCAGAGCTGCTTCTCTCTGCCATCTGGCAGTGTTGGTGGCAGCTTCAGGAACTTTACTTCCTCATTTGAGATTCTCTGGTTGGATAGTCAGGAACTAGAGACATTAGGGCTATTTTTCCACCTGCCTCCCAGGACGACTGTGCGGTGAGGAGCCCCGAGCGTCTGTGTAGACATAGGCAGTCCTGTTGACTACACCTGTGACTGCAGTGCAGGGCAGATTACAGCCCAGGGTTTCATCAGCAAGGCCCCCAAGTCTCCTGGGGAAAGGAAAGTCCTCTTCAGTGCCAAGGACAGTGAATGTGCCGTGTTCTGCTTCCTTTACAGGATAACAAAAAGATGAAGAAGTCTCTGGAGGAAGAACAGAGAGCCCGCAAAGACCTGGAGAAGCTGGTTAGGAAAGTCCTCAAGAACATGAATGATCCTGCTTGGGATGAGACCAACCTGTAAGGAAAGTCCTTGGTTCTTTTCCGAAGACCAGTTACAAGACCAAGCCAGGAGCCCCATGACCCCAGCTGGTGTGACACTCAGGACCGCAGGGCAGGGCTGGACGAAAGTCATTTTCTTTCTGTGCATAGAAAAGCTGGAGTTTATCACACAAATACAAATGGCCACACTGTCCTGAAGAATCCAGACATGAGGTGTAGACACTGGGGATTGAACTGCATGAATCTGACTCTGTAACATCACAATTACCTCATTTTGCAATAAGTGTAGTGACTGACTACAAGTCCTGGTCCTTCAGGCTTTATTGAATATATATAAATGTCATACAGACACCTTTCTTGTAAATGCTCCATTTTGAATGCACATCCATGACTGTTGTGTCTGGGCTGACGCCCATGTGAGAATTCCCTTCCCACTAACCCTCCTGGTCCGTGAGCGGGAGCTGTGTCTGTGCACTCGTGGAGCGCCAGGCGTGGAGGGCCTGGGTGCTTCTGGTGGATGCCCGATTTGTTCTCCACAGTACTCTAGAAATACTTCCCAGTTGAAGATGCCTGAATGACTCAACCTTATGTCTGCAAAGACACTTAATACCATTTGCAAGTCATCTGTGAAAGCGGTATTGCAGTCCCCAATGGCGGAGGTTCCTGGTCCCATCCTCCAGCCGGGTGAGGGAGTGTCGGAGCTTCAGCCAGGAATCCGAGAAGTCACACACAGCGCCACCGTGTCCCACTGCAGGGGTACGCTCCATCTGCCTCGTGTGAATCTGCATCATCGGAGTGTATCCACTGCCTCCTGGGAGATCACAGACTTTCCCGTGTTGTAGGCTAGTATAATAACTTGACAAGGTGCACTGTTTTGTCCTCCCCCCAAAAGAGAAAGCTTCACTAGAAACTGTAAATAAAATGTATTATTTATTACATCTCACTGCAGCCGCCGAAGAGAACCGAGCTGCCATGGATGGGGAGGCTTTCTTTGTCAGGCAGATTTAAGCTCAGAGCTCTGTTTCACCATGAAAGTGGCAAACGTTACAGTCATGCGTCGCTTAACGATGGGGCTGTGTTCTGAGGAGTGCGTCATTAGGCAGTTTTGTTGTGTGGACATCGTAGAGTGTACGTACACAGACCTAGAGGGAATAGCCTACTGCACACCTAGGCGGTGTGGTACTAGCCTCAGGGCACCACTGTTGTATGTGCAGTCATTGACGAAACATCACTACACAGCACATGACTGTACTTCAGCGCTCACTGGGAAAAAGACGCGTTCCCCTCTTTCAGTGAGGATAAAGTAACATGCATCATAAATTCCACCTAAGCAATGCAAGTCCCCCCACCCCCACCCCCAGTATCCCAGTGGAGGAGGAGGCCTGCCCTAACTGGCTCCGCTGGGCTCTCTGGCAGGGGTGGGGGGGGTGGCTCTAGAAGCCTCAGCAGCCCTGGGCAAGAAGCCCCGCCGCGGAGCCCAGCTTGCTGCTCTGCTTCAGAGACGGGTTCACGGAGTAGCAGGAACTTGCTCTCCGTTCCCCTCCTCTGAAGAGGCTGGTAACTTGAAAGTGAGATAAACTTTTTTCATGGAACAAGTGTTATGTCTTTAAAAACCTAAATCGCAGCGCTGTGCGTTAGAGACTTCTCAGAACTACCCATTTGGCATCGGATGTGACTTAGTGATTTGTGATCTGTTGGTGAAGTGAGGCTTTAACTGCATCAGAATCTTCTGATGCCTTTGAACTGGGCAACTTGGGAACTGGTTGGTGTTCTGGTGGTCCACAGTTCTTGTTCTGTGCCCCTGCAGCTCAGTCTGCCCGCCCGTCTCCCACTGGAGGGAGCTCAGCATTGACCTGCCCACACTTGACCTTTCAACCTGAGTTGCCAACTTCCTTACTTAGCATTTTGTTCACTTGTGCTAAGACTAGAAAAGATCTTTTTCTGTAAGTCCTGTTTGTACATCTTTTGGCGATGCATAAGACATGGCAGTGGAAAACAGTTAAATTTGAGTGTACTAAAGTTCACTGTCTTGAGCAAATTTTAACTCAGGAACAACATTCATCACATGATCTCTCCACCACTTTGTGACGGGTGATGTCTCCGCCAGCATCCCCAGATGGGTCTTCGACAGAACTGCCTTAACTGTTGACGAAGCATTGAGTGAGGACACTTGAGTGTTTCCTGTCCCTCCTGCGCATGGGGAGACTGTGGGGATGCTTGTGTAACGCATTACCGTTTCTTCCTGTGGATCCAGTGTTTTACTAAGCTTTTTAGGGAGCAGAGAAAATGCATCCAAGAGCAGTTCTTTCTACACACCTGCCGTGTTGTCAATAGACCGCATCCATTTCTCCGTGTGACCTTCTGGGGGGTGGGGAATTGATGGGAACGTTAGAGAGAGGCACTGTTGACCCTAAGGGTCACTTCTCTGCTCTCGCCTTTTGTGGACCAGGAGACAAGCCCTTTCCCATCCTGAGATGTGCAGCACTTGCAGTGCTACGTGGCGTTGAGGTGGCGTCGGAGACTGACCCCTGTGCCTGTGGTGTGCGCTGCCTGCGTGCACCCGGGCATGTGGGGCATTGAGTGCCTCCCCGTTATGTGGGCTGCCTGATGCCCCTTGCTTCTCCATTTCCCTGGGGCACGGAGTCCCCGTGTACAGCCGCGGGACACGTCACGAAAATGCCACAGGCGGTGTCCTGGCGCTGACTGTTCACGCTACATTGTAATTATTAAACCAATTATTTTTCTTATGTTACAAACACGTCACTTTATCTTCCATGATGTGTTTTTGGTGTGCATGTTACTTTTATGCTTCCTTTTGACTTTTTTATATTCTGGTGTGTATTTTTGACACTGGAAAATACCATGTTTGCCTTTAAAATCAAGGGTTTGGGAATATTTGAAGATAAAGGAGATTAAAAAAGAGAAGGGAAGGTTTTAGAGGAGGAAGAGCTGACATTGCTCTGTGCGGCATCCACTTGGCCAACCGTCCGTAGAATCGTGGCTCTCACCCTGGAAGACGCTCAGTAGACTGTTGAGGGGTGGAAGAAGTGCAGGCATTTTAAAGATTTCTGTGGGGTCCTTCTAGGAATGTCATATGACAAGAGAGAGGTGCTCTTCTGTCTGAGCCTTGCCCTTTCTGACGCTCCCTCTAGGCAGGGCCTCAGTCCAGTTCAGAGGGCTGGAGATCGTATTCAGGGAACACGTGGAGCCATGAGTTACACTGCCAAGCCGGGAGTGTCTAGAAGTTCCCTCAGCACATCTCCGTCCCTCTCAGAACTTCTACTCTCAAACCTGAGGAGTGGAGCTGGAGCACAGTCATCTCAGCCACTGTGGTTTCCTGTTAGATAACGTGGAAACCACTGCTTTGTCATCTTCCTGTCAGATTTTAGGGAGACAAATGGTGGTACGTATCTTGCAGAAAAACCAGTCTTGCTTGATGCTGGTATAGCTTGCATCCATGTGGGGTCCACGTTTTTCATAGTCCTTGGTAAATTCCCCCTTGGCCCTCCAGAAGGCAAGGCCGCAAGGTAGTGAGGACGGCCAGTGAGGCCCCCGTTCCAGAGACACCATCACCCCACATCCAGTGAGGACACCCAGCCTGCCAGCCGCTGCTCCGTGTGTCCACGCGCCTAGCTCGGCTCACAGCCTCTCCAGGTGGAGGGGTTGCACGGGTGCCGGGCCACCAGGAACCACAATGCAGCTGGCGTCTGAAGTGTGGAGATTTCATTCTTTCAGGCTAAAATGAGTGGGTGTTCAAAAAGTCACTTGTGTTGATTTACGTTGTGAAGAGAATGTGTACTACATTAGATACCTCTAATTCAAATCCTTCATCTTCCAGTGGGCAGTTTAGGCGTTTGTTTTTCTCTCTAGTCTGTAATTATCAAATATCTGCTCACAGGGAAAATACAGACTACACAAGGATCTAAAGTAAAAAGTGCATCCTCCCAGTCCCCCTCCTCCCACAAGGCAGCCAGTGTGATGTGTCCTACGTGTTCTTTTGTTCTGGGCAAATGCAGATATGTGGGGGTGCGCGTGTGTAATTTTGTTCCCCACAAATGAGATCACGTTGAATATATTCTCTAACTTGCCTTTTTTAAAAATCCACGTGGGAAAAATTATAAATCCCTATGCCACATCATAAACAAAAATAATCCCAGGTATATTAAAAACCTATATATGAAAAGATTTGAAAGTTTTAGAGGAAAATACAGAGTTTTTATGACCTCGTGCTAAGGTTCCCTTTGGTTTGACGCAGCTTAGGTGTCTTTCCATACAGGTGTGTCTAGGTTGACCCGTTTGCACAGCTGCACAGCCTTTCCCTTGACTGACTGCACCCCGTTTATTCTGGTCACTGGTGAGAGATGTCTGGGGGGGGCTTCAGGGACGGTTGCGTGTCCCCAGCCGCAGCAGCTACGTCATCAAGTCCTAGGAACGTGTGTGTGTCTTCAGGTTTTTGTAGAATTTCCCAAATCCCTAGAAGGTGTTTTAGAAATGACATCCTTGGCAGTTTTACAGTTCTAGTTTCTCAAAGAAGGAATCGAGGTATAAATGCCGTCTGAAACCTTTTCTTCATTCCTGATACATTCACACTGAAGCCATCGGCTCCATAAAGAGCGTGCCGTTGAGAGAGGAGGTTGGGTAGCACATACCCTTCCGTCTCTGTAATATCTTCTTTTTTGTCCTCGGTCTCTTTCTCAGCAGATTTCTCTTGTATGTTGCCATGATTATAGAGCAATAAAACCAGCCCTCAGTCTACCGCCATGACCTCATCTCTTGCCTTACCCCTCCCCATCAAACCTCCTCTGAAGCAAAGGTTTTCAGCACGTGGTGGGGGGGTGGGCTGCTCGTGGGTGCTAGCGGCTCCCGTGGTGATGGAGCTGGTCCAGGGGCCATGTGGCCGTGTTCCCCTCTGCCCCGGGGTGGGGTCGTGACAAGTGTGCAGCTTGGCGGTGCTTCCTCTGAAGGAGATGCACTGTGTTACTGGGGTGGATCCTCTTACATCACTGTCAGATGGCGCGCTCTCTCATTTCTAGATTGGCAAGTGATGGATATTTTCAGGGTTTTCTAGATGTGGTTGGAATTCCACCAGAGGAAGGGGGAGGGCCCAGGACAGGGTGAGAGACACTGGACGGACACTGAAAACTGCTCTGACAGCGGCATAGAACAAAATGAAGAAAGCGTTGCCCTTTTGAAAAATTACCTTATGTAAAGATTATGTGAGGACGCCTTTTCTGTAACACATTGCTGGATGATGATCATCTGGGCTCTGCCTCGGCTGAAATTGATGCTGTTTTAATTCTTCCTAACTTACATGCAGTATTTAATTAACTTGATTTTATTTGTAAACAAAAGTGGTTGGCATTTAATAACTGGAAGGAGGTATGCAGTGGTAACTCTTCTGCATATGGCAACACTGCAAAATTAAAAGCTGGCTGCTGCGTGGGAGGAGGGACTTCATTATTCAGGCACGTCTCCCTCTGATGGTGGTGCGTGAGGATCTGCCGGTGCATTGGGTGCAAGTGTAACTGCCGTCTTATGCTGTGTGGTTGGCAGCCTCACACGGGGGGAGGGCAGGGAGATCAACCAGCCAGTGGGCACCGGTCTGAGCTACATGGCCCTCGGGGGCCGGGAAGTCACAGAACCTGGTCTGACCCAGGCCCACCTTTAATCCACAACACTTTGGGTTTGTTTTGTCTTCTTTTCTAGTAGCCGTATTAGACAGGTGTTTCTTACGGTTTTGAAGACTTTCTTCTCTGGTTAGTGTCCCAGCATGATGGTTGACATGCATGTGTCAGTTTGCCGTGGCTGCTGTAACGAATACCACAGACTGGGTGGCTGTAACAGCAGATCTTGACTCTTCTCAGTTGTGAGGCCGGGAGTCTGAGATTGAGGCGTCGGCAGGCCCGTGCTCCCTCTGGAAGCCCCAGGGGAGGGTCCCTCCTGCCGCTTCCAGCTCCTGGTGGCGTGGCAGTCCCTGGAGTCCTTGGCTTGTGGCCGCATAGCTCCAGTCTGCCTCCGTTGGCTGGTGGCCGTCTTCCTTCTGTGTCTGTGTGTGTGTGTGTCTTCACAGGGCATTCTCCTCTGTGTCTGTTTTCCCTTCCTAGCAGGACACCAGTCACACTGGATCAGGGCCCACCCCCAGTATGACCTCAACCTGATCACATCTGCAAAGACCCTAATTCCAAATAAGGTCACGTTCACAGGTCCTGGGGGTCAGGACTTCAACATATCATTTTGGGGGGCAGGGGACAGTTCGACTCGTAACAATGGGGAAAGTGGACTGGCATCTCTAGGCATTAGCCTGATCCCCTGCCTTCTGCCTGGGGTGCCTGGCCTTCCAGAAGTCAGGGCTGGGTGTTGCTACAGGTGTTAGCTAGCTCCTCTGTGTGTCAGGCGATGAAGGGTGAGTACTGGGAGGGGCCCTTGGGGGTGGTAGTGGGTCCCAACGGTGCTTCTGCTATTTCAGAAAACCCGTGAGGACAACTGCGTTTTCCCGTGAGAAGACGGACCCATCCACCACAGCAAATGCTCTTAGATAAAATCAATACCTGTAGTCGCTGGTTATCACATGGGAACAGGACTTGGGACTTAAGGGGGAGACTAGCCCAGGCCGTGCTGGTGCTTCGTCCTGTGGCCTGTTAAGCCTCCATCCTTCACAGGCCTGGCCTGACCAGTCAGCGAAGTGGACAGCGGCTTCACAGGGCCTGTGGGGCGGCCCGGCAGTCCGGGCCATCACTCTGACACTCCTCTGAGGGTCTCCCCAAACAGCGGCACCTGGTGGGGTGAAGTGGCATCGCATCATCCTGGGGCCCAAGGTTGATTCTGGTGACGGGGAATCCTGTCTCTTCTTTCGGTCCCACCAACACCACTGTAACCATGTTCTGTCCTCGAGAGGCGGCCTGATCTCCTGTGCCCCAGTGCAGCTGCCCACACTGTCCCCTTAGCCCGTGCTGTCTTCTCTATCTTCACTCGAATAAATCCTTTGAAATCTCAGAGCTTCTTTCGTCTCTTGTGGAAGCCTGTGGGGAGCACCCTTCTGCCCCCCAAGAGTTTTCTCAGCCTCCTGGTGCAAACCCAGCCATCAAATGACCACTTGACCATCTCCACTAATTCCCTGGAAGCTTGTTGAGAAATGAGCCTGAACCAGCTTCTGCCACGGTTTTTGTGGCTGCTGTAGATTAAAATTCCCAGGAGAGAGAACCTGAATGCCTCAGTTTGGGGACACCCATACACTGCTGGTGGGAACACAGAGTGGGGTAGGTGCTGCTAATAGTCTGGCTATTGCTCAGAAAGACCCAACAATTACATTCCTAGGTGTGTACCCAAAAGAAGGGAAAACATGTCCGCACAAAAACTTGTATGTGAATATTCATAGCAGTATTATACGTAATAGCCAAAGGGTGGAAGCCACCCAAATATCCATCAGCAGATAAAGCGATAAACAAAATGTGGTCCATCCATACAATGGAGTGTTATTCAGCTGTGAAAGGAATGACCTTCTGACACATGCTGCCAAGAGGATGAAGCTTGAAAACATGTAAGTGAAAGAAGCCAGACACACAAAAGACCACGTATTGTGATGCCGTCTCCTGGCCCACCTCCCACCTTGGTGCAGTGCGCCTTCTGGAATTCCGTCAGGAGCCTGGTGCTCTGCTGTCTCCTTCAGCCTCTGCTCCACTGCAGCCTGATGCGTGCTGGTGGGCCCTCCCTTCCCCCTGGCCTCCCTGCAGCTCGGGTTTTTGACTTTCCCGGCCTCAGCTGCCTGCTCCTGGGGGTCACACCAAAACAACTCCCGCGACAACTTCCACTCCGAACCTCCCATGCGACCACAGCTTCCCGCCGGCCGGGTGCTCACTCCTCTGACATCGACACGAGCCCTTTGACCCCACTGGGGCAGGTGGTTCCTGCTTCCTCTTTCTCGATGCAGCCCCTCCCGCATTGTCATCCCTCCTCTCCTCACTGTGTCCTCACGGGCTCCTTCCCGGCTAAATCCTGCCAGTACAACCACCCTCCTCCGGCAGAAACCTGGGCCTGGTGAAGTCCAGTGTCTCTGCTCTGGCGAGTATGACGAGGGACACATCAGCTAGCAGCCATGCTGGCTCCTTGGGCAGGCCGTCCCCTCCACTCGCCGCTCCTGGTGACCTATTCCGCTGCCTGGCTGCCCCTCGGGCACTCCTTGCTTCCCACCCTCGTCTGGTCCCCTCCTCTCACTGCAGATTAATGCTTCCCTCGCTCGTCTTCTGGAACACGGTGCCACGCGGTGCCTCCCGCCACCCGGCCGCCCCATCCCGTTTGCCCAGAACACCCTCCCCAGTGGCATGCTCCGCTGGGTGCTGTCACACATGCTGATGCCCTTCCATTCCAGCTGCCTGCTGTGCACGCCCCGCTGGGACCTCAGCCCTGACTAGACACACAGACACAACATCTACGTGGCCTGTCCGCTCTAGTGGATTCCAGCGTCCACCTGAAACGCAGCAGCTCCGCCCTTCCAGCCTCCTGGGCGAATCCGTGGTTTCCTTGCTGACTTGTTTTCCCCTCTCACACTCCACATGCCAACCGTCAGCCAGTCATGGGTTCTAAAACGACAGACCAGAAGCACTGGCCGTGACCACCCGGCCCACCCTTATTTCTCTCCTGGATGATGATGTTACTCTTGCCTCCACACGGTCTGTCTTCCACACAGCCAGAATGATGGTGTTACAATAGAATCCGGTTTCTCCTCCGCACAAAATCCTGTCCTAGCGCCCTACTCCCTCCGCGTGAGGCCACAGTCCTTGCGGTCACCTGCGCACTTGCTCCTGGTTTACCCCCGTGACGTCTGCCCCCTCACTTCACTGGGCACTGGCCTCCTGCCGGGTCCTCGCCTCCCAGGCCTGCCTCACCCCAGGGCCTCTGCACTCGCTGCCGCTCAGCCCTGCGCCCTTCCCTCCCTTCCTGCCCGGCCGCTCAGGTGGTCTGGTTCCAGGCTCCCGCCCCTCCCTGCCCAGGCTCCCCATCAGCAGCTGGGCTTCCTTTCCTGCGCAGCAGCGCGGGGCTGACCTGACCTGAGGGGTCTGTTCGTCTCCTTCCACGGGAATGTCCGTCCCTGAGGGCGGGGACTTGTGTCTGTGGCTCACCGTTGTCCCCGCAGTGCCAGCAGAGTGGGCCCTCCGAGGAGACATGTGGTGGGTGTGAGGGCGGGCGTGGCGGGATCAGCACGTGGCTCCGACGCTGGGCCTGGTGGGCAGCTGGCGGGTGTCCCACAGGGAAGAGACGCGGTGCGGGGTCTGGAGGAGGCAGAGTCTGCGACGCCTTGCTTGGTACTGAGGGCTCTTCCAACCCTCCTCGGCCCTGTGAGTGTCCCGTCTGCTCTGCAGCTGCCAGCCTCACAGCCCTGCCCTCTGTGACGTCACGGGCCCTCTGTGACGTCACAGCGGGAAGCGCGGCCGCCACTGGCTCCACGCTCCGCTGGCCGCGCGCAGTGGGAGGGAGGAGGCGGCCAGTTTCTTGTTTGACCCGAACGTTGTTGTCCCCTTGGAGTGTAACTGTGAGACGAGGCTGAGGGGCTCCGCGGGGACATGAGCCGCAGGTGAGACCCGCCCGCCCTCAGCCTGGCCACCTCCAGCCCTGGCGCTGCCGCGGCTGGCCCATCCGTCCGCAAGGTCCTGCCTGTGCTCACCTGCCCTCTCTCCCAGGTTCCCTTGACCCCTCGCCTGTCCTTCAGCTGCCACGATGAGATACGCGCCGGAGTTCAAGAAGTCCCCGGCGCACCTCCTGAAGAAGTTTGCAGGTAACAAGAGAGACCACTGTGGGGGCCGTTTCAACCCACTGCGTTGATGAGTAGCCAGGCTCCAGGCTCAGCTGGGGCAGAGGAGGCAAAGAAACTGGTGTTTTTTGAAATAACATAGGAAAATACTATGAAGTCTTCATTTCCTTAACGTTCCATTGTAAAAACTCCTGAACCTGGGGTTTTCAGCAGAAGAAATATATTTAACTGTTTCCCAGGGAGCCAGAAGTGTCAGACGTGTTCACCATGAGCTGCCAAACTTACACTTCAGCCACTTCAGAATTTTTATGCAGGGGTGACTCTTTTTTAAAGAAAAGCGATTCTCAGTAGTGAAGTCCACCTCTCCTCCCTGTCCCGGGTGCCGGGACCTGAGGTGGGCCACTGTCCCCGCCAGCTGTTGAAGGAACCGTGGGAGTGTGACTTTCTCCATGGTGTGCGGTTAGTGTGTGTAGACAGTGTGAGCGTGGCTACTTAAGACCACGTGGGGGAAATTCTAGAAGTGTGAGGCCACTGGGGGTGGGGCGAGAAGAGGGAAGGCTGCTTCCAGCCATGCTTGTGTGTTCCTTGTATGTTTTTCTCGGCTGAGGGTGTATTTATGCATTACTTTTCTAATAAACTAAGGAGAAGGAAGCGGAAGGAAGAGAACTGTGGTTTTCTTGTTCGTTTGGCTTGGGATGTGGACTGACCAGGAGGTTCCGGGCTGGCCAAGCTGCCTTGAGACATTTAATCCCTCCGCTTGGCAGGAGGCGGGAAATGGCTTGTTACTGAGGACGGCGGAGCCCAGCTCTGGAGCTCTGGATGGGCTCTGGGACCCCCGGCTTGCAGGAAGGCTGTGCTACCCTGGGAGCCCCTCCTGGGACCTGTCCCCCGGGGCTCCGTCACGAGGCGGTGAGGACACGGGGGCCCAGGCTGCCCAGGGCCAGGCCCAGGCTGCAGGGGGCTCGCAGGAGGGGCCACTGTTCCATCCACAAGGCCCAGGGCAGAGGAGGCGGCGGCTTACCCCTCGGGGCGCCGAGCGGGCAGCAGAAGGTCTCCTGGGGGCCCCACCTGGGAGGAGAAGTCCCTTCTGGGTCCCTGGAGTGGGCCACCTCTTTTACTCTCTGCTTCAGGGCTGAGCCCCCTGGGCTGTGTGACAAGAGCCCAGGAGTGGTGAGGACAGAGAGCAGTCTCCCCCAGCTCTGTGAGAGGGGAGCCTGGGGCTGCAGGAGGCTGGCTGGGCGCCCCTTCTCCAGGTGGAGCCGGGGTGGGAGGTCACCCACATGTACCAGGAAAGCTGAGCCCTGCCCAGGCTGCCCTCGGGTTGGGAGTTTGTCTGCCCTCCTGAGGCTCACAGTGACCTGCTAGCATTTCGCCTGTGATCCGCTCTTCTTCTAGTTGGGGGTGAATATAGGCATGTGATAACATGTCTCTGTGTCCTCCGTAGACGTGCATGTGGCTGTTTCCCGTTTTTACTGAAGCTCATTGGTAAACTGTTAGATGACGGCTGGTTTTGTCAGCACCTCCTGGCCGGCCTGTTTTGGAGCTGTTGCAGGGCGCCCCCGGGTGGGCACTGGCCACTGCGGCCAGGGCAGGTGGAAGGGGTGGGCAGGTGTGGGGAATGAGCAGGTGTGGCAGATGGGCAGGTGGAGGAGGTGGGCAGGTGTGGGGAATGGGCAGGTGTGGCAGATGGGCAGGTGGAGGAGGTGAGCAGGTGTGGGGGATGGGCAGGTGTGGGGGATGAGCAGGTGTGGCAGATGGGCAGGTGGAGGAGGTGGGCAGGTGTGGGGGATGGGCAGGTGTGGGGGATGGGCAGGTGTGGCAGATGGGCAGGTGTGGGAGGTAGGCAGGTGTGGGAGATGGGCAGGTG